AGGGTTATACTGAGTTGACCCAGCTATCCCCCACAGACCCCCTAATCTGCACTCTCTCACCCACCTATCCCCCCAGGGGCTGCACTCCTCTGACCCGCCTATCCCTCACAGGGGCTGCACTCCCTTGACCCGCCTATCCCCCTCAGCCCCAAAAGTGCACTCACTTGACCCGCCTATCCACCCCAGCCCCAAAAGTGCACTCAGTTGACCCGCCCATCCAGACCCCTTATACTACTTATGCGTAACTGGTGGTTATAAAGTGGAAATGCATTTTCTCTTTGTTACTCTGATCTACCTCTGGGTATTTAGTAACCAATGAAAGTAAGCATGTTAAGTGTATAATTATGATAAATAATGGTGCCTCTTTCAAAATTGTGAATTTCATGGCTTTTGGTTTAAAACACAAACCAAATTCAATTGCCGGAAAAATGTTACATGATACTCAGTGACCTATAAGGCCCGTAGGCCTCTTGTTTCTGGGAATTTCCGTAATTTTACACTTAGATTTTTGGTCATATCTTGAATATAGAAATGAACAAACTGTCAGCGCAACTCCTTATAAACCGCTGCACATAATTTTGTCAGACTTTGCCGATATTGAGGACACATTGTGTAGATATGCATATTACCAGGGTAAGTTCGTCAATGTAAAGGGAAGCTACTCAAATAGTTAACAGTTCTAAATCACAGAAATTTTGGGATTTCATTTGCGCTCCTTTTAAGATTAGGCTTAAAGAAATCCGTTCTCATCCATGCGGTGTTGTTTTTCTCGATCATTCGTTTTCTACGAATTTACACATTAACGGCATTTCCCCGCTTTGGTAGCATAAAAAACATTTCTTCACAGTTTTATTGTTCAGAACAGTTATCTCAAAGACATTCATTTAACATAAGTATGCTGATTTCTTTCATTCTTTCCTATAACTGTATTTTCATGCAGACGATTTGGTTTGTTTAGCAGAGGGTGATAATTCGAAAAAGAATCGAAAATATGAAATAAGTCACGAACGTAAAGGACAGATTTTCGAAATTAAGGAAAATATCTGTTAAAGTAACTAATTAATTATTCCTTCAAAAAGTAGTCTGGAAGCGGGAAATATACATGTAAAGACAGCCAAAGTAGTTCCGGCTGTTTAGTGCAAGCGAACTCTAGATTTTATTGATGTAGTTATCAAAATAGTTTTTTATCCAAATCAGAATCAAGTATTTTATAGAAATTAAATGATGTAGAATTCACATGGGAAGTCTCAAAGTTTTGTTAAAACGAAAGTCGTATGATATATATAGAATATTTGTAATTGCGTGATTTGATAATGGCTTTATCTAACTCGTTGTAATGGTGCATATTATCTCGGCAAGCCTCGCGAATACATACACAATTTCAACTCGTTGGATAAAGCACAACAAAATAGTATCCTGTGCACTCTCTTTAACAGACCATATTGAAAATTTTGTGAAATTTAACAAATCTATTAATATACTAAGCGTCTTGTTTTTATTGGTATTAAGTGTTTGCCTTGACTAAAATAATTAATGAAATTCTAAACAGTACCTGCAAATTTTCAGAATTACAATGAATATCATAGAACTTTGAATTAAACTACGTCTATATACAATCTTACAAATTTGTATTAGCGTGTGTACATGTACGTACAGGAGAAAATCATATAACAAAATAATAGTAACATTTTAAAACTTGGCATAATTTTTACTGGTCATAAGAACAGAACACGTAAACAACAATAAACTTCATGTATAACCGGTATATAGCAGTGGAACTCCACAATGTGCAGTGTTTATTAATTGGTATAGATAGCGATTATTGATCACTAATCAATTTTAAAACAAAACCTTTCAGCAGTAACATAAAGAAAAAACACGGTGCCCTGATGTTGGATCTGGTACGTAAGGAGGAGTAAGCATCCCGGACCAGTTGACCGGGAATGCCCGCCGTTAGCCTTACCTATTGACCAGAATATCTATCGTCCTATTCAGTATGAAAACAAAGAACACCATTTTGTATGAAACAAGTCCGCAAAAATACGGCCCACTATTAGCTTATATTTGCTAACAACGTCAATATAACGGCCATAGCTAGAGCCCACTTTAGCTTTCTGTATTAACGTTAATCACGGAAGTTTACATACACAGTTTTGAATTCATATATTTTTTCAACATATTTGCCCGTACTGATCCCTTATAAAAATTTTCAATTATTTTCCGTATCAAAGATTCATTTAAGTAGTTTAACATTTAAACTTTATGTATTTCCTTGTAACCAGGAAACTTAATGTCATGTGCTTGATTAATTTACTTCATGTTGCGAGTGAATTCCTAAAACAGTCGAAATGAAGATGAAGAACCGCATTGCTCAATGCATTTGTATAATTGGCATCATTTCGACGTATACCTTTCATTTTATCACATGAATGTTTTATTTTATTTTTTTACTCATTTTTTATGAAGAAACGTATTAACATTTGATATTTGTTTCAGAGTGTACAATGAGGAGAGGGAATGGGATTCGTTTGTATTGACTCTGACTTGGCCAGTCACGATGTGTAAATTTTGTAATTTGGTTGTAAGTACATGTATTTTTTTTTAAAAAAATCACCTTTGGCAATTGCTTTGGACACAGTTATTTAAAGGGGAAATGATCAAATCTTGAAACAGAAATTGAACAGAAAAGAACTTTTAAATTATCTACATGTACTTTAATTTATTTCCTAGCATTCTTCTTTTACGTTGAATATCTTTTATACCTAATGTTATACCTAAAGTGTATTTCGATAAAATTTCGAACGTACAAGAAAACAGTAATACGCAAAAGTCTCTTTTTTTCTCAGAGGTTGGCGTTAGGAAAGGGGTTAATTGCCCAGCTCTTTACAAGGCAAAACTACTAAAACTTATAAATTTATAGAAAAAGTTTCCTGATAAATATTTTTCTTTAAAAGGACAAAAAGTGTGTTGTTCCTGCAAAGATGTGGGAAATTCATGGTCTTTGGTAAGTAGGCAAATATAAAGCAAGATAACATTGAAAAAGATAAGGGATTTTCATTTTAAGCACCACAAAGGCAGAATAAATAATTAATACTCCTTTTAAATACAGGAAAAAGTTTAAAAGTTACGTCTGTTGAGTTTCACACCAATTATTAAGATATTCCATTACAAAGAAGCATATGGCTGTCTAATTTTAAAGACAGAGTAATTCTACATAAAAATCCATTCATTGTCAACCCTTTGTCGTCAATCAAGAAAAAAATTCTGAAGAAATCGTTTCTCTCGTGTTCATATGGATAATCATGCTTGAAAATGAACATATAAATGTTACATCTACGAATAATTAGGAAGCTTTTAAGGTACATTTTAATAAGTCTTTGTCAACAAAAGTAGCAAAATAGACCTGTACAAGGTACAGTACAGCAAAAACTTGAAAGCTTATTTATAGTCTGTTACTGAAACGAAAATGTATTTCTTAACTAATTTATTTGACTTGACTCAATAATAAATTGTCGTGTGGAAGAACTCTGATTAAGGAGTACCCGCCAGATACACGTGTCAAGAAAATTCCTGTTATACTTGAATAAAATGCTTATTCATGATACTTAAAGCAGGTAGTTTAATACCCCCCCCCCCCCCAAAAAAAAAAAAACAAGCAATTTATGATTAATATTGTATTCGTTAGGCCTGGTTACAGTAACGGTGATTGTGCTCCACGGGGTTGCAGCATATCCCATCCATTCAAGGAAAGTGAAATAATGGTTCGTATTTTTAGCATAACCTTTCATTCATATTGGCCATATGGTTCATAATTTCTCATCAAACACATTTCATTTGCATTTAAAAAATCAAATGATCATAACCTTTGAACAGTAAGTGCAGATTTCATATTTCACAGGTATATAAATTCAGTCCGATCAACCATTTTGATCATTGTCCTTGAAGGTTGATTTGCATATCAGAAACTACGGTTTGCAATAAACTGTTATAATGCTGGGACATCTGAGTTTCACAATCATATCTTGTTAGTATTAAAAAGCTGAAGTTGTTTGCATCCCCACACATATCCTGTTCATTTGAAACACCCTCGATAGACCCTGTCCGTATAATTCCAACTCTCTGTTTCTGGAGTGTTGTAAACTCGGATGGGGCCGATCCTTCCCTGTCTCTTAAAGGTCTTGCAATATTCCGGAAATTCTATTCTGTCTTTTTGCATATGGAGTGAACATTTTTGTCAGACAAGTTCTTCAAGTTTTTGATATCCCAAAGATTTTTCGCAAGTAAACCCTTGATAAGAGAAATTTAATTGAAATGTTTACAATTAACGGCGATTATATATTGAAATGAAGAATGAAAGAAGATAAATTAAATGTCTTACATATTATTGATGTAAGCACACCCCTTACTTAGCCATTTTTTAATATACAATCACAGGAAGATTGAGGCAGATGAGGCTTTTAAGACGAGAGAAGTACATGCCTTCTTGCTATATACTGTAAATCACTTTTTATTTGCGTGAACTTTATTTACGTGTAATTACGCGAGACAGTGTGCTCGCGAAAATTTAATTCTCGCGTTTAATAGTATTCCTTAGGATTGCATAGAGGAATAACCACAATTCGTGAAAATTTTGTCTCGCTTATTAATATCAATTCTCTGTAATTATCAAAATTGGTTGGCCACGCATAGAAAAACATTTTGATTTTTTTATAATAATTTTAAAGAGCTATGTCATTAATTATAAAATCTAAAGTGGGTTTATGAAATAGACCCTTGGTTGCCATAGAAACGGGGTGCAAAATTCTCAATTTTGTTAATTTTGAAAACTGTGTACTTATCAAGAAAAACTGTGTCCAGAAATAGAAAGGGATAACTTAATATGTTTTCATTATTTAAATTTAATACTACAGATTAAAGTAATTATATCTGTAGTTTTAATCTAATCTCTCAATAGTAAATGGCCATTTTACATATTATAACATATCAGATATGTGATTGGTTTAGTGGAGTTTTTAGAGGCTTAAAACAAAAAAGGCACACTGATTACAAATTTAGTAATAATTAATTATGAAAGGCTGATATTTGATTATATCAAAATATGTAAAATATTGGTGGGAGACTCAAAGATGTAAAAGGAATCCAAAGGTAAAGATTACTTTTTTCTACATTTTGAAGCATTTTTTGCTTCCTAATTACTTCCCTTGAACTACTCTCTAACGTTTGGAGGTACAATGTGTATTTAGTAAACAGCAATGAAAATTTTCTGGCGAAAGACCTCATCAAAGTTTTACAGTCTGGAAGAAGAAAAGAAGGCTAGACATCCTAAACAATGAAGACAGAAGGTAAATTTATGTATATACTGAGCATTACAAAAATATCAAGATTAACAAATGCATATTTTCTTAATTTTATTTGCCTTACAATACACAGTTATTTTACCGGTAGTGGTCAGTGGTCCTTATCAAATCAAGCGAACTATACCTTTTGACAGTTTGACTTTCTGACCAGTGAATTAATTATTTTTATTAATAAAAATGAATTTGAAGCATATAAACATCACTTGGTGATACAGCTTACTCCCCGCCCCCCCCCCCCCCGAAATATAAATGTCTATCATGTCTATAGGGCCTATAGAGATTGTATAAAATCTGTGCCATTCAGTATGTTTACTTTTTATGATGTGGTGAGAGAGACTTTTAAGTGAACATTATTTATCTTTATAGTATAAATTTCCACTTCTGTCAGTTTTCATTCATTGTTTATCCTATTATTTCAATTCTTTATTGGCATTAGGCACATATTTTACAGAATTGTGTTGTTAAAATATTAACTAGAGCAAGTTTGTTTCTATAATAAAAGTGCATCAAACGTTTATAATGTGTGAGCACAAGCATAAAGTAGCTAAGTTTTTTAAATAGGCCTAGTATTCTATATATCAGCAAAATATGGTCATGTGATGTTCATAAGCAGAAAATAGGAAAACACCATGTTTGTTTTGATGTCATTGTTTTATTTAATAGCTTCTATCTTTTAAACTTAAAATTTATAATATATATCCAAAACTGTACTATATGAATTGACAAAATAGATCTACATGTAGGTTAAGATTGCACTGGAAATATTGAGTTATTTTTGTTTATATAGACTCTTTCATTCGTCTGTGAAGTACCGGTACATAATAATCTATAATTCAATTTTGTGTGAATAATGATAATCTTTTCAACTAGCAAACAGTTAAAAAATATATATGTACACTTGTACATATGTATTAGTGTTAAAACAAAATTTAACCATGTTAACTAGAGGTACTGTGAGCAATGAGCTCACTAAATGATACCCCCTGCCTCCCATATGGTTATAACTGATGACAAATCCATGTTTTACTGTGGCCAGGAAACCCAAAATATGCGTCGAATCAAAAAGTAAAATAGGAGGTGCACAATGGCAATATGTAATAAAGATTCTGTGAAAGGTTAATTAAATGTCACTCATTGCAGTGGTATACATGTAAGAGGAGTTGCGGATAATAAGAGATGGGTACCCAAAAGCGTAACAGACAGACGGACGTACAGACAGATGGACGTACAGCTAGATGGACATACCGATTACGGTATATCCTACCACTTTTCAAGTGGAGGGTATAATAAAACTATATACATGTACATGTGTGTAGAATATTCACCTCTGATTTATAATGATATTTGTTTTATACACACTGATCATGTTTTATAATATTCTAAACAAATTATTTGATACTCAGGCAAATATTCACTACTGGTAAGATGACCACACACATGAACATGTCTGTATATGAATGAAATGAATTTTCCTTTTGATCATGTTCCAAGGAAAATAATTATTTTCATCATTTTTTCATCAAAGGATTTACCATATAAGATGAATAAAGAAAAAGTAAGACCAGTAAACCAAAACAGGACCAAATAGGCCATGACTGAAGTTCAAGTGCATTCTGCAAGAAAGTGGACAGCCTAGATTTTGTTCTTTTCAAGGTATTACCATTCTTAAAATATGAAAGTAAATTAAGGACAGATGATACAAACAAAAAATGGATGCCTGGATTGGTATATATTTTTTGGCATAATTTAATTGCAAATTAATGATGCTATTAATAAATTTCTAGAATATTAAGAAATTGTAAACCTTCTGTGATGTTCAAAAGTCTGCCCTCTTGAAACTATCCTTATTAATCTTTACAAATATTTTTCACTTCAAATTCCATTTTTATGCAAATATGAACTAAAAATTAAAAAGTACTTGAAGAAAGTTATTAATTTTACTGATTTGAATATGACCCCAGTTGTTATTTTCAAATTCTTTGACAAAAGTTTGTTTGTATCATCTGTCCTTTAACTGTTAAAAAATATTTCAGTTTTATATCTAAATCTAAACCTTGCTTATTTCTTTTTTTATAAACAAAATTTAATACCTGCCCAGTAACAGAAGAATTATTATACTAGAATAAAGAAAACAACTTTCTAAAGGATTACATACACAATTAATTAGCTTGAAATCAGTGTATATTGGAAAGTGCAGGAATTATTTACCATTGCAGGTTGAGAAGGGATGCCATGTTTAAAGCTGAATTCCAACCTACTTCAACATACTTGTACTGTCTTCAAGATATCAGTGTTTGAGATGTCAAAGTTCAAATATAATAGGAACATGTTTATCATATTATGTGATGGCATCCTCAAATCTTATGCTGTAAAACAATATGTTTTAGAACTTATCATGCTTTATTCTGTACCTTGCCAAAAAAAACTCAACTCAACATAATTCTCATTAACTAATTATCAGTGTTACTTGCGTATGTCAATGTAGGTCATTATTGGTACATGCCTGACCAACAAAAACTCTAAAATTGAAAAATCAAGATTTTCAGAGCAGCAGAAACAGTAGAATTTGTTATGTAAATATAATGATATGTACCGTAGTTGAGAATACATGTACTCTAAATGTTGCATATATAAAAAATAAAAAAGCGAAAAGTTCTCTTGTTTTCAGAATTTATATTAACATGTGAAAAAAAAAAGGAGATTGATATAGTTGGTGTGATGAGATGTTGGCAGGAACCTAGTAAAATGTAAGGAAGAACTTCCTTAAAATGATACTTGTGGGGGACAGTGTCTCATGGGGGGGGCATTGTTTCAACTGACTTTACAGAATACAAAAGATCCATTGCAAACCTAATTATTAATTATATGCCAAACACTACGTTTAAAGTTTTCCATTGTTGGATATTTATGTTTGAATCCAAGTTAACTTACCCAATAGGATGTGATTTTTGTTTAAACCAATGTAATTTTTCTCAAGTTTAAAGTCATGTTTCATAAGTTTTAAAAGAAAAAATCAGAATGGGGGGGGTTAAATTTTTTACTTCATTCAAAGTGTCTGTGGTTTGCAGTTGCCCATGAATTTAATAAGTAATTATACAAAGTAAGAAGTTGAAATGAGTAAAATATTATGAATGCCCTGCTTGTTTTAGTTTCATTTCAGAATTTTTCAAGTTTGACCAAATCTTGAAAAAGTAAAAGCCACAAGGTTTTGCAATTATTTGGCATAGCATTACAAAATGCATTATATTTTTGCAACATCATAAAGATGCAAATTTAAGATGCCAAAAAATTTAGTTCACATTCACATTTAAGTCATTACACAGGTTTTATAAAAAAGTAAATAAGTGTAGTTTTGGGAATTAAGTTAAACGCAGCCATTTTGGTTAAAAATCTGGTATTCCTGTCTCCATGGTAACAAATCTTGCATTCCTGTTTCCATAGTAATAGAGAATGGATAGGGAAAATTTTATTTCATATAAGTTTCAATCTAAGGGGATAGGATAAGGAAACTTGATACATGCCCTGGTTAGTCTACATGTACTTCAAAATTGTCAGTTTTACGGAAGGGGGGGGGGCATTTTGTGCAGGTGTTCACAGTTCTCTTATCTAAGAACATATTTACATGTATTAATGCTCTTGGAAATGGGATGTGAATATTTTTACATGACACTTCTCCTAGATATGGACTAATTTTACTGTAAATGACATCAAAACAGGTAGAAAGGAACATATCTTTTCTATATGAACTTAATGATTTTGGGTAATTTTTCATCAGCTTTTAAAAAAAAAAATGTTGAAGTGTCCCATAAATATTTTAATGTGTTTAAACTAACTTATGTACCATCTATACAATGCACTGTTTCCTGAATTTCAAATCAGTGTGCAAAGTATTAAAAAATGGCTTTGAAAAGGGGTCTAAAATGGTAATTTTCTCAATTTGGCAAAATGCCAAAATCCCCAAAGCTAATCGTTATTAAGCCATTATGTAGAATTACAATTTTTAAAAAATTATGTTGTTATACTAGAGAGGACTAATGGTAGTTTTGAAACAAAAGTAGATTTTCCCATTCTCTTGCTTCCTTTAAGCTCATTTTTATTCAGTAAAACCTACAAAATCACGTTTTTTGGTCAAATTTTAGGAAGAATTTACAGGGGAAACAATAGGTGCCGTTACCATGGCAGCGAGACATTTTTTGAAATAAAAAAATATAAAACCATGAATGATGTGACAATGTGAGTACACACAAAAAGTTTCATAGAAATTGAAAATATAGCGTGGCCAAGCATTATTGATATTGTTTGATAATTACAGAGAATTGATATTAAGAATTAATGCCTATTTCGCGAAAATAACGTGTCGCGAAAATTTAGTGATCTACAGTATATACATGACGATATTTTTAAAACAGCCTATAGAGACAGAAAGGTTACATTATCGATAACATGTACAAGGAATGAATATAAGAATACTCGAAAATTTAAGGGAAATCATGTCGATCTCTTATTTTGAAAATTAAAAAAAAAAAAGTGGGGGATCAATGCCTTTAGTGTCTATGCAGCTAAATTTTGAAGCCTGTCTTATCAAAAGAGTTTAATCTTATGTGATGATTACAGGTACTACTACAGAGAGATGATAATTCAATTGTCAAATAATATCAATAATTGATATTTTCTTTTTTTATACTATAAATGAGCAATTTAAAGCTTAGGTAGTTTTAACCACTATGAAGTTAATCAAAACGACATATTGTACACTGTAAAAATTACATTTTTCTCTTCAGGTCTTGTTAGACAGACTAAACAAATACTGGCCAAATCAGCTGCCTGATAGACCTCAGTATGACTTCTGGTGAGTCGAACATATACTTTCAGTTTGTCACTCGTCAGTTTTGGTCAGTACCTCAAATTTCAAAATTGTTATAATTATTTAATTTAATGAAAATTTTTAATTACGCAAGTTATAAAACATTCTGGTAGAGGGATGTTTAAAAGAAAGGTCAATATATCAAAATGTGCATTCATTATTGACTCCAAACATTTTTCTTTCATTCTTTAAAATTAAACAATATCATATGTAAACAGATCAGCATTTAAATCCTTTAAAGCTTGATACAAAAAATATCAAATTGCCTTGATTTTTTTTATACACAAAAATGCAAACATGAATCAAACAAAAATTAAAAAGACACCAAAGGAAAACAAAAACCATATACTTTAAATTGATTTGCAGGATTTTATTTTCTATAATAAATATTATTCAAACGATTATGCATAAAGAAAATCGTATTTCTGGCCATGATAATGTGTCCAAAAATAGATGATTCATTATATTAATGCAGCAAATAAAAATTTTGAGTCATTGACATGCTATATACATGACTGTACGAGAAGCTGTCGTAAATAGGCTTCTATGTCTAGCTTCCCTCCATGAAATTCATCAGGAATACCCTTTTAACATCAAGTCAAATTAGTATGAAACTACATTTAAATATGTCAGAATATAAGTTCTACAATAAAATTATATCAAACTCATAAACATATAAAAATTGGAGACCAGTGGACATCTTGTTGTGCAATGATTAAATAAACTTGATTTGTTGCATTACAATTAGATTTTTTTTATAAAACAATATGATAAAATTATAAATTAATAATGTTATTTATTGTGGTTTTAAAGCTAAGTAATTGTAGAAATTAAATCTGATAACTGAAACTAGCATTTTCTTCTTTGGAGAAATACCAAGTCAATGTCCAGTGAATAAATTCTTAAATTTTATTATTACGGACTTAGGATGTGAAGTATTTCCCAAAATGAACAAAGGAAGAGATATCTTGAAAAATAAGTGAAGTGATTGGTTTTTTCCTCTTCAAAAATATTTCGTTTTATAGAACACGGTGTACTGATATAATTTTATTATATAACTTATTTTCTTACATATTCAAATTTAATTTCATACTAATTTGACTTGATGTGTAAAGGGTATTTAAACCATACACCATTCCTGATGAATTTCATGAAGAGAAGCTAGACGGATTTGTTTTATTTCTTTTTAAGAATTTTTCACTTTGAATTATTCATCTGATACGCTGCCACTTGGTATCTTGGGCGCAGGTCTCCATTTAGACTGGTGCTCGGTACCTAAACGCTAAAGCACCTACTTCAACATCGAACCTCAGTTTATACAGACCCATCCGATGGATGGGGTCTTTACGTTCCATGGTAGATTCGAACCCGCGGCGAAAGAATAAGCTCCTGGCTCCGCGACTGTACGTGCATGCAGAGCAAACACTCTAAAAACTGCGCTTCGCAAGCGACAAGCATACTATTTAAACTTGTATTGGGCTGACTGTCCTAGACAAAGAAATTTTTCTCTCATTATGCAAATTTTAAAGTAACAACATTACAACGACTTATGATTTTACTACTTATAACAATGTTAGTGGGATAGCACAATCTGCATTTGATTCTTGAGGAGTAGAAAATGTGTACATTATTTTTGACATATGTCGTCAGTGAAGAATACTAGAGCAATTTTTTCACTTTTATTTTATTTTAGGAAACACGAATGGGAAGCACATGGAAGATGTGCAACAATAGTAAAAGAAACTGACACAGAACTGAAGTATTTTAACAAAACTCTCGACCTTCGTTTAATCAATGATGTTAGCAGGTAAGAGTAAGACTAAAATTTCCTAGAGGTACCACACCTTGTAAAAATCAATGTATTTTTGAAATGAATCAGGATTGAATTATAGACATTCAACATACAAAAATCCATTAATTTAATACCCCCAGAGCAGATAGTTTTTGCACCGTTCGTCCGTCAGTTGTAAGGAAAATATTAACCTTCCCCTTACCTTTTGAAAGGTTGGAGCTTTGGCTTTCATATTTCACATGAATATTTCTTCGACAAGACCATTACCGTCATGGTTGCTTAGTCGGTAGAGGGATGGCTCGTCATAGGAAGGTCGTGTGCCCGAATCCTAGTTGAGATTTATTTCAAATGCTAAAACGACTCGGTACTTTAAAATGAATGTTATGGGTACATCGGGCGAGACCTTAAAACTATAAAAGGTGAAGATGACAGTTTAGTACTCATCCGAAAAAAATCAACAACCAATACAATAATGTGAAGAGGGCATCGAACATGGACCAATGGAAATTCCAGAGGTGATGTGAGATCGAGAGGAGTACTAGTAAACATCCCCTGATGAACGGTCCCACCTAACATCCCCACTTTGTATTGATAAGATGAAAAAACTTTTTAAAGTCAAATTTAGTATTAAAAAAAAAAACCTCTGACAACTAGAAGTGTAAAACAAGTCAGCTAAAATACAACACAAATATAGGATATTTATTTGATACACTGTAACAAGGTATTACAGCGACAAGAGAATTTACGAAAAAGTATTCCTCGCGTGGCTAGACATTTTCTTGGGATCAAATTTTGACGCTTTGACTCACAGGCCTTTGGATGGCTTAAACAAAATTGTGTGTGTAAAAAAGGATAAAGGTATGGACTTACACTGAGTACCCAATTTCGCTAATAAAACATTTTTTAATCAAATGCTCTAAAATTTTACTTTCTACTTAAATCTATTCATAGGTAAACAATCTTTATTTCTACCAAAGCTCATTCCGAAATTCAATACACTTTTCGAAATATTCTTAATTCAAAATTATTTCAAAAATGACCTACTTTATGTTTACTCTAAATTCGATTGGGCCTTTGGTCATTCACATGTAAACAGACGGTGTTTGAAGTGCAGCGAATAGTTGCATAGTATTTGCAAAATCTTTCAACATTCTTACTCCAGATTGTAAGGTTATGTCCGTAATACCTTTCGCGAAAAATAAATTTAAACACGTCTACATCAACATCTGCACCGCCATATTGATTATGAATGTGAAAGAAGCTAAGGTTGAACGAATTTTTCACGGAATGTATAATATACCTTTCAATTATAAAAATAACGAGACCGCTAAAATGTTGGTGAATTAGTTAGATCATGTGATCAAATTAGAGGAAATCTTGTAAAGCTCGAATGCATATGAGCAAATATGCATTTGAGTATATAGAATAAATTCCGGGGAAAATTTGTCCCGTCGTTCCCGCTTAACAATTATTGTAGCTCTTCAAAGGTCCAAGCTGAGGTCGAGTAAAAAAAAATAAGGTCAGTATTGGAATTGATTTCAGAATATCTCGAGAAGTATAAGGATTACGGAATGAACTTTGGTAGTACATATAATGAAGATTTTTTAAATATGAATAGATATGGATAGAAAGTAATATTATAAAGCATTTGATGTAAAAGAATTTTATAGGCGAAAGAAGGTACCAAATGAAAAGAGTTCCATACCTTTATTTTTTTTTCTATGCGATCTAAAGGCCTGTGCTTTGACCCAGATCTCTTTTTGAAAATCTGAATATTGGTAATTGGTAACTTTCGAACAGTTTAAATAGCATTCCTTGTTATAAGGCCTTCCCATTATTTTTGACCTCTTGACCATGGAGTCTGACTTACTTTTGAAAAACTTTTAACTTTGGCTTAAATTTTAAACATTAAGTGCTACGGTTTTCATATTTTACTGGCGTATTCCTTGTGACAAGACCCTTTTTGAATTCCAGTATTTTTGATTTTTGTTTCCTTGACCTTGGAAATTGATTTGAATTCTTGAAATTTTAACCTTTCATATCAAGGTGCCATGTAAAACATCAATGTTTTACAGAAACATTTTGTTGAATTTAGTTTATTGTGTCTATAGTTAGTGGCGAATTGATGCGATATGAAATGTAAAATATTTAGAATTAACATTGTCTCATATTCTTGTCTTCTTTACTACATGTGATCACTAGTTGATGGATCTGAAATGAAATGTTTAAAATTAACATTGTCCCATATGATTTTCTTGTCAAGCCATTTTTTACCACTTTTAATATTTTTTGTATTTGACAGTATGTTATCATCTGCTGGTATCAGTCCTGGAAAATCATATGAGGTATGATTTACAATGAACTTTTAGTCTATTAAACCAACCCTGCAACACAAACTTTACTTGAAACAGCCGTAAGTTTCCATAGTAGCAAAATATATTTTTTTCTGAATTTCTTTCATGAATGCTCCCATGCTACTGCAATTTAGAGTTCTGACAAAAAATTTTCTGCAAATTGAGAATGAATCAAATTGAGTATTTCTCAGTTTCGCATTCCACGATCGGTCACCTGATTTCAAGGAGAATGTGGTACATAAGTAGACAACAATAAAATAATATAATTATACACATCTTATTTTCAATTTTACTGAATGGTCTTACCCTGGTCAAATAAACTTTTTAATCTTTGTTTTGAAAGGCGTTTTGCACGCTTGTCTGATACGATATGTTTTGGACCGGTATAGAAAATAAACTTTAAAGCTCTCACACTGTATAAAATACATTTGAATATTGTGTACCAGCACAAATAATTACAATTAATAATTTTTATTTTTATTTTTATTTTTTTTATAATCCCATCCCCTTAATAAGTAAATGCGGTTTGGGATGTGGGATTTTCAAATTTATTAAGCAAAGATACATGTACATTGTATCTTGAAATATCACTGCAAAGCGGAGCATTCTCTCGCATAGAGGATATCTATAAATCAAAGCAGCATTCCACATCGATCCCGATGCAAATCACTCCGTTTCTCACTGGACATAACCCACAAGCAAACACACCCACACACACACCCTCACATATTTCCTCAAAGTTTGTTTCAAGGGAAAAAGACACCCTCGGAATAGAATCATAAGACGTTATTACTAAGAAGGCGAAGAATAAGATTTTTTTCCATTTTGTAAAAGCGATTTTAAATCGGTGGAATTTGTCTTTTTACAACCTTTTTGAATTCAATATTTACCTCTTAGCTGACAATGGTGGAGCGTGCTGTGAAAAGGAGAACAGGGGGACAGCCACTTGTCTTATGTGGAAACGCAGAGGTTAGCAATGTTAAAGCTGTGAACTGGCACAATACTATATATACACCTGAACACGCTGAAATCAAAATACTTAATTTGTTTGATACATGTACTTGATCTGCATGGTAAAAATGTGGTATGTTTACATAAATTCAAATAAACAAACATTCTTAACTCAATACTTAACCAAGTTATTTCAGGAGTTACACTATAATATGAAATTTAATTTTTATCTTTTAATCTGTTTTTCTTAATAGTCTTTAGGCAAATTCTTCCATTTCAAATATATTTTATGTTATTCATTATTGTATTTGTAGATAAAGATAATATAAGTAAAGTTCATTGGACTTAAGTGTTTAGAAGTGGGGAACAACACATTCAACAAGATTTACACTCAATGAGTTTTGTTTAACACAGGGCAAGAAGAAATTAGACTAAATTAAGCGTTATCTTTCATAAACAAAAAAGCCTACAAACTTCAATTTTGTTTTTATACTCTTAATTTTTTTTATATTGCAGAATACGACATGGATTTCGGAAATACTCATTTGTATGAATAAAGCTTTCAAAGTCACCGATTGCCCACAATCAAACTGTAAGCCGAAATCATGGAGAAAAACTTTACCACCTGCTGATCCGTGCGGAGAGATGGTGTTTTATCCGGAGAGCGTAAAAGAAATACATGTTAACTAAATGTTTGATTTTTGGATATCAGAGTCAAGTTTAGTTTATTATTTTGGATGTTGATTGATTGATTTTTGTTTTTGGCAATATTTCGGCGGGAAAATTTAAATACTATATGAACGGCTTTGAAATTTTGCGGCCCCTAATGAGCCTTTTCTTTTTCAATATACTCTATATTCTCTATTGTTATAAGAAAATTTTGTGAATAGATGGAAAATTTCTGAGCAATTAGCATGGTGAATAGCTACCGGTAATTTTGCACTTTGGATTTACAGATTTAATTATAAGTATATTGACTTTCCCTGTTCACGAAAGCCTACATATATGATGTTTCTGGTTCTTGTACACGTAATTCATAGGCGTCGGAACCGGGGGGGGGACTTAGCCTTGTTTCGTAGGTTTAGCCCCCCCCCACTTTCCATAGACACCTAGCAGTATAGGCTAAAAATGGGTAAAGTTTTGGTGTTTGGAGAAAAATTTAAGTACTAAAGTTCGAACCCCCCCCCCCCCCCCCCCCCCCCTTTTGGAAATTTTTTTTTTTTTTTGCTTGTAACGTGTTTAAGAAGGTAAAAAAAAAATTATTAGACTTAGCCCCCCCCACTTTCAATTTGCTTCTGACGCCAATGTAATTACAATTTTTAGCTCTACTGGTCAGAGACCAGAAGAGCTTATGCGATAGTAATGCGTCCGGCGTCCGTCCGTCTGTCTGTCTGTCTGTAAACAATTTTTCAAAATGCTACTCCTCCTACAGTTTTGATCTGATTTCAATATAACTTGGCACACAAGTAGACTAAACTAAGATACATAATTCCGTGTATCGGTTTTTGATTTCAACGAACGGTGTTGGCATTGTTACTAAAAATAGAAATTTCTGTGAAATTCTTTCAAAATGCTACTCCTCCTACAAATTTAGTCTGATTTTAATATAACTTGGCACACAAGTAGACTACACTAAGATACATAATTCTGTATATCGGTTTTTTATTTCGACGAACGGTGTTGGCGTTGTTACCAAAAATAGAAATTTCTGTGAAATTCTTTCAAAATGCTATTCCTCCTACAGTTTTGGTATGATTTCAATATAACTTGGCACTCAAGTAGACTACACTAAGGTACATAATTCTTTATATCCGTTTTTGACTTCAATGAACATTATTACCTTGGTTAATAAAGATAGCAATTTCTGTTACTCTCAAATTTGCTACTTCAAATACAGTTTTAGTCTGATTATGATATAATGTGGCTTGCAAGTAGACTACACTAAGAACATAAAGAGACTTATTCAAGGATCATTATTCTCTTTTTTGCCTGTGCAAATTTTCAATTCCCAACTGCTTAAGTACTTTCCTCTTCCTTTGTTATAA